GGCTCCCCAGGGTCAAGGCACCGAGCTGCTGGAATTCAATAAGCATCTGGACAGTGCTCTCAGTCATATGGCCTGATTTTTGGATGGTCCTGTGTGGAGCCACTTGTTGGACTCCCCAGTCCTTAAATATTTGCAGTATTCTATGGTTCTTCAAACTCCGTTTTCATTCTAAGGGAAGAATTTTGAAGCTTGTGCATTGTGCAAATGAGGTGCTATATCGTGACACTTCCACATTTCATTCTTAGCGTTGTTTAGCTACCCAAGTTCTCCCAAGCCATCCAAGCCTCTGTAAAGTTAACAATTTACTGAAACCCAGAGGCCCTTAAAACCCCGAGACCGACAGCTTTTATTGGATGATATCCTTCAACTCTCTCCAATATGTATTTCCGACGATAACCTGTGCAGCAAAAAACTTCATTCAGCCACAAGAGTGTGCATGTGAGAGGACTGCAAATCTCCTCCGCCAAACCAGAATTAGCCGGTATCGCAGGAATGAAAGAGCGTGGAGATTTGAAATTGCAGGGAATGGAAGCGAGACAGCGCACGAGCCGAGCCGCCCGGGGAGCGAAGGGCCCGGCAGCGGCCGCGCGGCGCCGCGGACAATAAACCCCGGGACGGCGAGCGGGGCGAGGAGGAGCGGAGAGGGCGCAGGTCGGCAGCGGGACGCCGCAGCTCGGGGCGCGGGGCGGCGCGGCAGCATCCTGCGGGGTGAGCAGCTCGGGAGGGGCCGGGAGGAGCCGCGCGGCACCAGCGGCGCCGCGAGCAGAGGCGCGGGCCGGGGTCGGACTGCGGGGCCGGGGGCGGCCCCAGGGCGGCGGGAGGCGGCGGCGGCCCCGCCGCAGCGAGGTAACTAGCGGTCATCCTTTGTGCTCGGCGGGCGGGCGGTTCCGGCCCCGCGCCCTCCCCCGGCGCCGCCCCGCGCGGAGCCCCGCAGCGCCGCGGGCCCGACAGGTGCCGCCGCGGGGAGCGCTGTGCCGGGGCGGTGCCGCGTCCGCACGAGCCCGACTCGCGTGTTAGGGAGGGCGTGACGCGTAGCGCTTCCGAAAGCTTACGGAGCGGCGATGCGGCCCGGCAGCAGCCTTCCCGATCCCCGATCCCCGCGCCACGCTCGCCCCCGAGCCCGTTCCCGCCGGTCGCTGCCGCTGGTGCTCGCGCTGAAAGCGCGGCATCGATCGCCGCGTGGCGCTCGGAGCCGTCCGAGCGGATCCAGGGCGGCACGCAGGGGCACCGAACGGAGCCGGGTCGCCGCTGCGTGCTGGCTTGTGGCCCCAGCAGTCAGCTTGGCGTTCTCCTATTTCCGTTTTTCTCTCACTCTGCGGGCACGCGGCGTGCCTCTGATCTGCAGAAGTGGAGCTGATCTGACCCGTAGTTGCGCCTTCAGTGAAGTCAACTGGAGACTGACAACAGAAGTCTTGGCATATGTTCCGGTTACAACGAAGTAACACCTGAACAGACCCTGCGTTCTGCTTTTAGCAATATGTTTCCTATATATCTTCAAAAAACAAATCATTACATATAGCTAGTGAGAATACTGTGAAGCAAACCTTAGTACTATTTATGAAGTATTTATGAGTTATATCCATTGGACGTACCTTTAAATTCCTATTTGATGCCATACTTTTAAAAGCAGAAGCAATCAGCTACTGGAAGAGGCTACAAAACAATGTGTAAAAACTTCACTGCAGGGACTTTTTTGTATCCAGATCAGATGTTTTTCTGATGATCCCATTCAACTTCTAACCAGGGAGCCATAGAGTGCCAGTAACGGCACAGGGAACTTGGATGTTTCTCTGCTGACTTTGGTCTTATTACAGCACCTGCATTTGTCTCTAGAAGAGTTCATGAGTCAGATTTTCAGGAAAGCTCAGTGTTTCTGTAGACTCCAGTGTTTGAGCCAATTTTCTAAGAGCTCTGCATATCGTGTGTGCTTACAGTATAAAAAGCTTTTCTGAAAAAAATCCAGTTGTTCTCCAGCTGCCCAAACAATAATCCAGGTTCTCCTGTCTTTAAATGCAGCTCCTTGTGAGAGGCTGTAGATAAACACTGTTACTGCGAGAGTCTTCAGTGCCTTGCTCACTGGGAAAGCATGTCTGACTTCATAAATCAGCTGCTATCATTTACATTGCAGTTTCTCTAGGATTTCACAATTACTGAGAGCTCATTGGGCTTCTCTGCCTTCTGTGCTACTGTGTTCTTGACAGTGCTGTGGTGTGGGAAGAAGACTGAGGGCAGGTAAGAGCACTTCTCCTGGGTTGTAGGCGATGGGCGGTGAGTCAGTGGCAGCGAGAGAATCCAGACATCCAGTCTTTGCTTCATCCAGAGCTTCAGGTTTGTGCAGCTATTGGAAATGGCCTTCTGTGCATTTGAGTGTATTCACTTTGAACTTGTAACATTAGCATAAAAGTAATAATAAGTGAGATTCCTATTCAAAGGAAAAGTGTATGCAGTTTCACAAGCTTTGTGGGGGTTGTTGTAAGCCTGCATTACAATTAAATGCAATTAAAAGCATCGAATCAGGTGAAGCATTCTGTCAGGAAGCTTGCACTTTCTCTGCTCCTGGAAAGATGAATGTCCTATCTTTGAATCTCTATGCCAATTATTTTTGCTTTAAAACTTTTAAAAACTTTTTAAAAGTATGAAAGATGTATCTATTTCCTTCTGGTCCAAAGAAGATTTTTTTTTGTATCCAGTATCAGTATGCAGGTGCACACAAAAAATAGTCAGATGCATGAGGTTCCATACTGAATCCTCACTCTGACTCTCGAGTTACATAATTTTGTATTCCATTATTTAAGATGTACTGTGATATCTATCATACATTTTTCACTAATCCCACACAGGCTGTACTTAGCAGCTTGAAATTTTCATTCATTCTGCTGTTTCTCTTTTTTTTTTTTCCATTAGCATTATTATGCAGTAACTTTCTTACCTTTATGTAGTTTGTCTTTCTCTCTCTTGTGAGTGGGCTGTGTCCTCAATAGGTAGTCACATAAATTGCATCACCGGGGGATCTAGCTCCTAGTAACCTTGTTAGACAGGGTGAAAATGCCATCTTTGAGACCTACGCACTGTAGAAGAAGGATGAATTATAATGTTAACTCTTTCATTCAAAGTAAAGTCTGCAACCCTCACTCCTCACCATTCCTCCCGCCACATACACAGTCCTGCCTGAAACACCCTGGAGGACTCCAGGAAGATGAATAAGAATATCTCCTTCTCTTTTTGCTGCCCAATTTGGAAAGAAAAAGCCAGTAAGTCAGGGTGTGTATGAAATGGCACTCTGTCAGTGGCACTCATCATTTGATCCCAGATTATCTGCTCATGTGGCAAATGTTAAATGTGCACGGTTCTTGTTATGCCTCCCTGTGTCATCCATGCTTTCCTTCTCTCCTCCCTGGCCAAGTTAGGACTAGAGATAACATAGTCCAGAAAGAGTTTGCATGTGTGGAATTTCATAACAGAGGTACAACTTATTTTAGTTACAGTTCATTATATGAACTGATTATATACAAATCAGAGTGCTTTTGGAGAAACCCTGAAGTTCAAGTTGCCCACAGCTATCTGTAATTACCTATTGCAAATAAGGGCTGTGTGGCACTTGGAAGGTAACTTACCAGCAGGCAGCATGGAGAGGTTACATATGTGGGCAGTTTGTCAGTGATGCTTGTGAAGCAGTGGCTTCGACCTCCTCTGTGCATGAAGTACTTGAAGACATTCTTTGTATGTTTATCTAGCAATAAGAAAAAAGTAAAATACTTTGGAAAACTAATAACTGAAGAAGCAGATAATCCTATACTCCTATAAATATACTCCTATATTTAAAGATTAACAGCACAAATTTACATTAGTAACAAAGTCTGAATTATTCCATTCGCTGTCAATGTATTGTACAGAGGAGCTGGCCCTGAACTGGAGACGTATCTTTTGAGGGCTCGCAGAATACATGAAGCTCTCAAAAACAATTTTGATAACTTTCTTATCTTGTTTGACTATTGTGAAGTTGATGGCTCTTTTCTATTTCTCCAGAAAAGAAAAGAAGGGGAAAAAATCACCATCTCTGGTTATTTGTATCATTACACTTATTTCTAGTCTCCATGGAAACCGATGTGCTGCTCCACAACCATGTAACATTTTGATATGTTGCATAAATCAGATGGAGAGATTAGGTTCTGCATCTTGCCCATTACTCAATTAAAAATGGCTTGCAAATTTAACATTTAGAGTAAGAAAGAAAGAAATGAAGATAAACAAGATATTATGACCTGATCCCCCATGTTTGTGCATATAACTCTGCCACACAGTTTGATTCTGATAGGCATTAATTTGGAAGAGTTCATTGCTTTTAGTAGAGTTATATGTATTAGTACTATGGAATCTGAGAGTATAACAGTGAACAGTGAGTCAAACTGACTCTGACAAAGTTTTAAACTTGCCAGAGTTGAAGTAACAGTCCCCTCTTTGTAATTTATATAAGCAAGGCTTTTTGAAAATCAAGAACCTTATAGCTTTATCTTTCTGTCTTCACTACTAAGGAAGAAACACATATCCAAATTTGTTTCCTCTGAAAAAGTGTCTGCCTGCCTCTTTAAGATTTCTATTTCTTTACTCCAAGCTTTATTAATTGAAGGCACGTAATCTTACTGAGACAGCAGAAGAAATACACAGAGAGAGCCTGATCTTCTCTGACCAGAGCCAACCCATGAGGAGTGAGTGCTCTCAGCCGCATACAAGTGAGTAAATATGTGCTGATGGAAACGATGTGACCTACTGGCACCTATAAGAACTCTTACATAGACAGCCATGATAATAAAGTACATACACGTTAATTGGAGAATTTTCAAAGTATTTTGCATTTGAACAATGAAAATCAAGTATGAGGGAAAAAAGGTGAAACACAATTGTGATTTATGCTATTCACTATAACCAAGCCACCAAATTGTGTCATTCTGAATGTGTTTTGAAATTATTTACTTTGTTTGTTTCAGAATACTGTGGAAAAAATGTATGCCAGTCGAGAGGATATTGGGTATGATTTTGGAGATGACTCAAAAGTTGGAAGTAAGCCAATTAAGCCTAATCCAAACATCGATGGAGGATGGGCTTGGATGATTGTATTTTCCTCTTTCCTTGTGCACATACTTATCATGGGGTCCCAAATGGCCCTTGGAATACTCAACATGGAGTGGCTTGAAGAGTTTAATCAAAGTCGTGGCTTAACAGCATGGGTTAGCTCTCTTAGCATGGGCATTACACTTATTGTAGGTATGTTCTAGCACCATTTATTTCAGAACTACAGAGATTTTTGGAATATGTTTGCTGCTCACTCTTCAAATATTTTCTTACAGTTTTCAATTTACCAACAGAGCTGCTCAGTTTCTCCTCAGTTATCTCTACTAACTTGTCCAGGTGACAAATTACAAATTAGAGGAAGATAGGGGACAGCAGGGAAGATGATAAAGAAGACAATTAGACCAGGCAACAGTGTGAGCAGGAAAAGGATGCTTGTGATTTCAAGGACTCATTAGAATCCAGAAAACGGGTTCTGCTAAGCCTGTGGTACTCCATACTCTAAGCCTCTCCATACTCTATCTATGAGAAAATGTTGGATTTGGATAGTGAACTAATTTATATTTCAGTTGGTAACTGAAAAAAAATTGATTTCTAAGTAGTGGTTGGAGCAATCCAAAAGAATATCTGTAGGCGTGTGTTTGTGTATGTGTGTAAATACACATCTCTATTTCCCTAAATTAAGATTGAAAATGTGTTTTGGTCTGCCTAAAATATTCCACTGAAAACAAAATTAAAAATTTGCTTTCTAATGACTTCTAAAAAAAGGTCTGCACTCACAGTGTTTGCATTGGGAAAAACGGTTTCCATTTCTTCCTCTGTTTAAGCCATTCCTTCATGGAGCACTTTTGATTTTATGTCTTAAGGGTACTTGCTAAGTATGCTAAGTAAGGTTGGTTAGACAGTATATTTTTTTCCATGAAAATAAGGAAATAAAACCCTGAATTGAGTGAGTGGCATGATGTTTTAACACAGTGTTTAAAGCATCATGAAGAATTTTGGTGTGAAAAATTACTAAAGAGTTTAGGGATTTAGATAAATGACACAGTATTTCTTCACGTTCTTTAACAGGTCCTTTCATTGGTTTATTCGTTACCATGTGTGGGTGCCGCAAAACAGCAATAATTGGAGGGATATTGAATGCCCTAGGCTGGATATTGAGTGCCTATGCCTCAAATGTGCACTACCTCTTCCTTACATTTGGAGTGACAGCCGGTAAGCTAGACAAGCACTTGAGAGTTTCTTTCTGATGATTTTTGATTCCTTTGGGGGTTATCTGGGTGAGGGAAAAGGGAAGTCAGACTGGTTCCCAGAGTGTTTTTGCACATTAAAATAAAGTTTTAGTTATGAAATGTAACTTGACTTTTGATTTCAGTTTATTCGGCCCTCATGTGATCTGGCATAGTGCTATAATCACAAGAATCAGAGGCAGTGAGCAACATCCTTCATTCCAGTAGAGTTATTGCTGTTTCTCCTTCGCTATCTTTACAGATTTGTCTTTTCAGAAAGCTCATTTGTTTACACAGTGGATTAGTCCCAATGGCTTTCGTTGTCATTTAAATCTACCATGTGAAGATGGCATTTTTATCAGTTTGTCCCACGTGAATATATTAGAAGGCATTCTTAATTAGAAGAATTAATGTAACCTAAACTCTAACAAATGGATTTTCAAGAGATTAAAATATTGTTGCACTGTATATCTAGGTAGCTCCTCTCTTTGTCACAGAAATAAATAGCATACATATTTTTACAGGAATTGTTACACGTTAGCAAAATATCAGAATATGATAACTACGTGGTGTTTCTATAGCCATAATTAGGGTGTAACACGTATGTTTTTAATGAAAAAAAAAAAGATAAGCATGACTTTCTTCCGAATATATTGTTGTGTTTGTTTAATCTTCCGAATCCCTTTGAGTAGATTTGATCTGCCTGATGAGAACAATGCATGTAGTCATAAGTAATGAGCTCTTTGCCTTAGTCTTCGTGGCCAGTTAGGCTTCCTGTGGCTCTTGTGTTCCTGAACCTCTAGCTGGGGTCTGGGGGAGCAATATCCCTCACACTGTAAGAGCCGAGCAAGTTTGAGACCACCTCATGAAGCTGAAGGTGTACGAGTCTATGGGGTCAGATAACATGCATCCCAGGGTTCTGAAGGAACTGGATGATTGGTTGCCAAGACACTCTCTTTGATATTTGAAAAACTATGGCTGTCAGGCAGTCTTTGGTGACTGTAAAAAGGGAAACATCACTCCCATTTTTAAGAAAGGAGGAAAGGAGGACCAGGCCCTGGCACTGCTGCCCTGAGAGCTGTGGATACTTCATCCTTGCAGGTGCTCAAGGCTAGGTTGGATGGGGCCCTGGGCAGCCTGAGCTGGTGGGGGGCAGCCAGCCCATGGCAGGTGTTGGTACTAGATGGGCTTTAAGATCCCTTCCAACCTAAGTTATTCTATGATTCTATGATCTGAGCAATGCTAAGCAAGTCAAGGAGCTTTAAGTCAAGGAAATATAATTAATTCTATGGCTAATATGGCAGAAATTCAATGTAAAAAATGGTTTGTAATCTTAACAATAGCTGAAATGCCTTCTCTCAAACTACCCCTTCACGGGATTTCAGAGAAATCTGCAGAATTTCTGTACATAATTTTTTGCCTATCTGGATAGAAAAAAAAATAAAACTCAGAAGGATCACTGTGACAACTCTTTATGCTAGTGTACTATAGATTTCAGTAATTCTGTATGTTCTTGAGCAAAGAGCAATAATTATAGACAAGATATTGCCCTTTTGGCAGTTTCTGATTCCATCCATATTTGTTATATTCAGACAGACATGAGCCTGAGTTATCTCAACCCTTGCTGCTTTTCAGAAAGTGCATACCAAAAATATTGAACAAAAATGCAGAGGTTTATGCAGAGATTTTAAAAGATTTTAAAATGTGAGCTGAAAACGTTATTATCAGAAAAAAGTCTGAGGCAAGTTTTTACGTGAGGTGGAGAAATGAGATGCTGTTACAATAGGAATGTGGGGCAGAAAAACAGCATAGGAATGCCTGAGACGTTCATTCCAACTCCATGAGACCTCTGCTTGCCAGGGCCTCAGCCACCTGTTTGCTGTATTTGCCACCACCGCTGCTCAGTGTGCCCTCACACAACATCTCGCTCCCTTCACTCATTGTCCCCTCACACACCATTCCCTCAGTCACAGTCCCCATAAGCACCATCCCCTCACTGGCTGTCCCCTCACACACTGTCCTCTTACTTACTGTTCTTTCATGCACTGTCCCTTCTCAGGCCCCTTGCTCACTGTCTCTCCGTTCTCTCGCCATCCCCTCACGCACTGCCCCTCACACACTATCCCCTCACATGCCGTCCCTCCTTTCTCTCACTGTCCCTTCACACACTGTCCCCCGCTCACTGTGCCCTTGCCATCCTCTCACTGACCATCTCCTCCATCACTGCCACTTCTACTTCCTGTCAGTTTCCTTATGGTCACTTCACTCAGTTCCCTCACTTTCCATTCCATCGCCCTCAGCGCATCACTCCTCATTGCCGTGCTGCCTGTCCCCTCACACCCTGCCCCTTCCTCACTGAGGTTGCCTCACTGCCGCCTCAGGGAAATTTCCTTCCTCCTTCAGACTGAGGTTTTCTTACAGTGGCCGCTGCCTGCTGTGGTCACATTCTCCACACAGTGCTCATGGGTGTCCTAACGGCTGCTGTGTTTCCCTCAGGCCACAGTGACCAGCTGTGCCAGACAACCTCACCCTGCATGACCCCATGGTCCCAGCCCTGCTCCATGTCCCACAGCACCCCTCACCTCAGAGCGGTTCCCCTCCACCAGCTCCGTATGGCATCTGCTCCATCTGCTGTCCCCTCACCTCCTGGCTGCCAGCTCCATCCCAGCCTGTTCTCTCCTCCCCACAGCATCAGCCTGTGGCAAAATAGCGCTCGGGGCCCTAAAGGGAGAGCAGAGCCAGGTTGTGTTGCAAAGCTGAAGTGCCAGATCTGTGAGGAGAAGATAGAGAGGCCTGTGTCCTGTGCCTATGCGTGGAGATGGCATGCCCTTGCCTGAATTAGGCCTCATTTTGCCATGTAGCCCACAGAATGGAAAGATAGAACAATGTATACATTTCTTACTTCTCAGGGTGTTCAGAGGAGCTCAGTAAACACTGATGTGAGTATGAGCACAAGCAGATGGGAACAGGGGTTCTTCCATCTGTTGCAGAGCCAACTTCAGGCCAGTATGACGCTGGGGGTCCTCTAGAGGGCAGAGAGATTGCCTGCAAGTTTTTGCCTGGATGTGGGGGGGAAGCCTCATGCAAAACAGAAGCCAAATAATGTGCTGCACAGCATAGCAATAAACGCTTTTAGCAGGTGCGATGGGTCAGCTCTGAGCATGATACACTGCAGTGATGTTGGGCTGTTTTTTTTCAGTCTTTGCTGGAGTAGCAGCTCTTCTCCTGGTTTAGCTGTAGGGTGTCATGCAGCTAACTTATCAGCTATTTTAGGAAAGATTCTAAGCCCAAAATGCAGTTGTAAATTATGACCACAGTAAATTTGAAAACATTTTCTGCATTCGCCATTATTCTAGTCCTCTTTAAATGGCAGGGATTGCAAAACTGGCAACTATTACTGTTACGGATGCGTTTGCATAACACTCAACACTTTCTGCTTGAGCATCACAGATTTGGAAAACACTACAAGATAGAAAGTAAACTAACATGAGAACTGAATATTTATTCTTGGTATTACTGTTACGATTCTGCAAAAGTTAGGAATAAATCCAGTTCATTTTTATCTTGTTGGCATGAGGTTCAGGTTTATTTTGACTTTTCTTTTCATAGGCATCGGGAGTGGCATGGTTTATCTGCCTGCAGTGGTCATGGTAGGACAGTATTTTCAGAAGAGAAGAGCACTTGCACAAGGACTCAGTACCACAGGAACAGGGTTTGGAGCTTTCTTAATGACAGCCTTGCTGAAGTACCTCTGCAGGGAGCTTGGGTGGAGAAATGCCATGTTCATCCAGGGTGCAATCTGCCTGAACCTTTGTGTCTGCGGGGCACTTATGAGACCGCTTTCTCTCAAAGACGTAAATGAAAAGTACGTTGTAAGACGTAATAGTGAAGATAATCGGGCAAAAGCTCTGTCCCACTCTGCAGAGACTATAAAATCCAATGGAGTCCTCAGTGAAGAACCAGAGAAAAAGGAAGTGATAAAAAATGAAGAAGTGCTTGATAATATTAAGCACATAGAAATTGGAGGTAAATCTCGGATTGGAAAAAGCATGTATGGACTGCGCATTCTTAAGACAGTGAGCCAGCTGACAATTACAGTCAGGAAGGGCTTTGGAATCTGGTACTCCAGTTACTTTGGAGCTGCATCACTGTTCACCAACAGAGTGTTTGTGGCCTTTATAATCTGGGCTTTGTTTGCCTATAGCAGCTTTGTCATTCCCTTTATTCATCTTCCAGAGATAGTCAAGCAGTACAATTTATCTAGTCAGAACAATATATTTCCTTTGACGTCCATTATAGCAATTGTTCATATTTTTGGTAAAGTGATCCTTGGAATCATCTCTGATCTGCCTTGCATCAGCACTTGGAATGTCTTCCTCATGGCTAACTTCACCCTGGTCACCTGCATTCTTACTTTGCCACTAATGCAAACATACATTAGTTTGGCTGTGGTCTGTGCTCTAATAGGATTTTCTAGTGGCTACTTTTCTCTAATGCCTGTTGTGACTGAAGATTTGGTTGGAACTAAACACCTTGCAAATGCCTATGGCATCATCATTTGTGCCAATGGAATATCTGCATTGCTTGGACCACCCTTTGCAGGTAAAAAGTTCAAATTTTTGACCAACAGTTGTTTGTTTTGTAGATGTGTGACTTGTTATTTTATCAAGCTTTTTTTTATGAACACCTGTAGTTATCAAAAAGGCAGCTGTACCAGAAAGGCCTGTAACATCCAGCTTTACATTGCATATATTTACTGAACATATCTGTTGCTCACTATTCACACATTAAAAATTACCATCCTTATAAATAACCCCAAATACATTACAAGTTGTACTTTTGAGGGTATGTTTCTTTAAAATATTATCATATCCTTTTTAAAAAACAGAAAGGATAACTTATTTTTATATGTTCATGTAGCATAAAAACTATATTCACATACACTCATGCCTATATGTAGATGAAAAATGATGAGTTTTCAGGATTATTTGGATAGTTTTCAGGATATTTGTACCACAGTATTTGCACCAAGAACTATAGAGTGTGTTTGGGCTTCACCACTCTAAGCTGCCCATGGATGTATCAATTTAATGGACTTGTCTTTGCCTTTCTTCTGCCTGTTGTACCTACTTTTGAGAGTGTACTGCTCACAATCTTGTTACTGCTTTACACAGCAGAAGCCGAAGTGCACAAAGCATTATGCCTAAAGTCACTTTGGTTTAAAAAACATTCATTATACATTTTCTCATACAAAGAAGTTGGGAACTGTAGTGGGAAACTGATGGGGAGAGATGGAGGTGGTGATGATCAGTACTGCACTCAGACTATGGCTATCTGTAAGAGAAAAGCAAATCAGAAGGAAGCTGTAGGAAGCCTTGTGACTTATGGTGGTCGTCAGCCAGGAGTGGCACTGGGCTGAACTAAAGCCAGTTTGACCACCAGCAGCCCAGGAAAGACAGAATGCTCTCCTCTATCCCCAGCATCAAGTGAGATGAAATGATTTTGAAGAAAGCTCATTTAGCATCCTTGGAAAAGTATCAGACTTTACCATATACTCTCAGCCCCTCTCAGTCTATGCTCAACATAGCTTTGTGTTTGGTCATTAGTAATGAAGCAAACTGGATGTGACTGGTTGGTGTGAAAAAAGCTTCTGATCTTGAGATTACATGGCAATGCAGCCAGAATGAAATGGGGTAATTTCACTACTCACTATTCACTAAAGCCCTTCTGAATTAGTTTTCATGTATTTTTGCAAAGGGATTAGGGCTGGAATGGGATTAATTGCAGTACCAAGATTTTTGAAAAGTCTTTTATTGGTATGTGAATCTTTAGAAAACTTTTGGGAATGTCTTTGCTCGCATTAGGCACAGTATCTAAGCTAGCCTACATGGCACAATAGCAGTACTGGGCATAGCAGTAATAGCAAAGCAAACAGCAGAGTGGAAGAAGTAGTTGGTTTGGGATTTCAAATTGTTTAAAGTCAAATCTATACAGTAATTCATCTGAAAAATGTACAGTTTCAGATAGAAGATCGCTCATGTTCTAGAATGGCATACAGCTAACATCCCATTTTAAGACTGCATAATACTTACAGGGGGGTGGTAGGTTTTGAATTAGTTTTGGGTTATGGTGAGTGACCAAGAGATTTTGTTAGTGCATTTCTATTTGTCTCCTCTAGATGCTACAATCACCACATTATGTTTTCTTCAAAGCAACTAAGGTTTTCAGTAAAATGTCATGAGAAAAATGTGCAATGTCTTTCATGTATTTCCCAGCAATTAATCTTTTTGTCAAGCATTGTAATATGCATGTTTTGTCCTTATTTTGCAGGTTGGATCTATGACATCACACATAAATATGATTTTTCTTTTTATATATGCGGCTCGCTATATATGGTGGGAATATTATTTTTATTTATACAACCTTATATTGGAAAGAAACAATCACAAGAAAAATCTACTGAAGAGGCACAAGTATAGAATGAATTCCAGATGTTCGGGGTTTTTTTACACAATTTATTTCTTTCCATGTTTCTATTGCATGCAGTTTAAAGCTGTTTTTCTTAAGGAACCAACCACATTGAGCTGTGCTTAAGTACTTATGTGAAAGGAAAATGTGCACCAAAATTATGATAATTCATCAGAAATATGCTTTTAAAATGACTTAAGATCTTTCACTTCAGTACAAACAAAAGCACACTGACAGTCTTAGAATCGGAGCGATGTTAGAAATATTTACTTTTGATTCTCTTAACTTTTCATCACTAACCTTTGGTGAAACTCCACTGACTGCAGTGCAGTCACTTCTGATTTACACTAGTCCTGTCAGATAGTTTTATCGGGATGCAAATAATTTATAAAAATCCGTCTACAGAGTATCCTATCTGAGTTAGAACATATAAGAAAATGATTGTATCTCTTACCCAGCTAGTCAAGTACTGCTGAAATGCTAGCACAACACTTCAATGAGTTCAGTGTATGAAAATTCAAGATTCTGTGATGCAAAGCTGAAGAAAAATATTTATGTTTTTCTGAAAGGGCTCTCTACTTGAATCATTTTTTATTTTTATTTTTAATTATCAAGTGCGTGATAAATTAGCCATCCTCAATATGTGGGCTGTGTTATACATGCTCTGACACTTAATGCACCTGAAGGAAAGCAAACAGAAAAGCAAAACCAGAAAACTGATGGAAAATACTAATTTGATTCTTCAACAGAAATGATAAGCAGCAAAAGCTGATGATCTCTTACACAGTTCCACATGCATGAGTTACCACATTCAGATAGACTGATTTCTGATTGCAGGTTCAACTTCTCCAGCAGTTACTCATGATTTATGTTGATGGAATTGAGAACAGAATGTGGAACCGTGTATACAGTTTTCTAGTTCTGCTCACTGAAATTCAGCTCTATTATTGTGGACAACATCCAACACCCAATCCAACATCCAAGTTGGATTTCACTGTAGCTGTGTTAACTGTCCTAGAGCTGCTGATCATACCTGTATCAGGTAGAGATACCCAACATGAGAAGAAAAGCTTTCTGCATTTATAAATACAGAAATTTTTATTTATGCTTTGAAAAGTTAAACTTGATCTGACTCTTGTCTGTAGTCTTTTATGATGGAGAAATAATTTATTTAAATGAACAGTAGCCCCTTCATTGTAAAACAAAACAAAACAAACCGGTATATTTAAGGGAGCAAATGCTATTGTTATGGTATATCCAGGTTCTTACAGGTTCTTAAGCCTGCCTTGTTGTGTGGGACCTCACAGTGAAAGCACTGCACCACAGACTGGAAAATACTTCCAGAAACAGTTTGACCTTTCTGGCCACTGTCTGGCTGGGACAAGTAAGCTGTACTAAAGAAACAGAGCTGGGCAAAAGTGCCCAAATACAGCGTAAGAAAGAACTGAACTACAGCATGCTAAGTTTTATTACAGTTAACTTCAGAATAAAAACTGTAGAATTATGAACAGTTGTGTTGCTGCATACAAGTACACCATGAACTGCCTAAGACTGGTCATGTTTTAGATGTTTACTCACTAGCAAATTAGATAACACAAAGCATGGAAGAACTCCAGTCAATTTAAAATATTGAAATAAATTTTCTTAAACAACATTAATGCAGAATGTTTTGAATAATGTTACATCATGTATCTCAGCTTTGACAGGTGAGCCTGATGTTAGTTTTCCTATACGAAGTAAATGTCACTGTTTCTTTTTCCTGCTTGCTTCATGAATGCTTTTTCACGACAAATCAAGTTCTTGGTTTACTACTGATACGTGCCACTTGAATTCTCTAAAAGCAATCAACATTTTTCAGTTGTATTGAAGAAATATTTAAAATAATTCTTGAGGTGAAAACCTCAAGAAAACCCAAAACTACCTAGAGATTTAGATGAGTTCATTGATGTAATATGTATGGCCTTTAAAATTCACATTAAAACAACTGAGGTGGCAGTGAATTGCAACATGTGGCATGAATAAGCAGCCAGTTTATTTCTTAAAATCAGCTTCTTTTGCTGAAGGAAATATTCATGTAAACTACTCCGACATCAGTTCTTTAGTCACAGGTTTAATGTCTTGGTGTAAATGGCATTGCTAACTTACTTTAGCTGAGCTTTCTTACATTGGTGAAATATATGTATTATAGTGATGATTTGCCTCAATTTCCTTCTATTTTTGAAAGATATATAGTAATTATACTTAAAACCTCACTTTGCCTTTTGTTAAAATCAACTTTATTTGCATATTACTGTAATGAATATGTTGCTCATTTATATCTGCAAATTACATTCCTAAAGTCCTTAACGAGCCATATAATGGGAATAAACATTTAATACCCCAAATTTGACTTTCTGTTCATTTACTAGTTAGGTTCACTTCCTAAACTTAAAACCGAAGATTCTCCTGTAAAATGATTGTTCACACTTGCTGTAACGGACGATGGGGATACATGATTGATCAAAGAGATAAGAAAGTGGGCTGAGTGAAAACAGTGAAATGAGGATACTGAATTACCATTAACTCAGTCCATATTGACTAGTGTGGGTTCTAGTTTGCTAACCTGAAACTGCCTAAATCAGTTATGTTACAAACTAACAAAGAATAAATTCACAGAAAGTGAGAACAACGAAGGTCTGTTTAGTAGCTCTATTCACAGTTCTTAAAATCATCTCTAAAGCAAAGTTACTTTTTACTGTGTTTTATTACACAGAACAGAAATTTCACAAATACAGTATTTTATGCACATCGTGAATTTTCTGTCATTGTCCTGAAATGAGAATGGCATGAGGAGAAAAGAATGTATCTAAGTATTTAAAGTGCAGTTTTTCTACCTAAAAACTAGAGATGCCAAGTTCTTCAAGAATACTGGTACATAGCTGTAGAGCAACAGGAAAACAGGAAGAGAGTTTGCATCATTGCCTACATTTGGCTATTTTCAGTGATAGCAGACACTGTAATGAGTTCTTCTCCCAGATATTCCTGTTTTCCACATGTGCAATTGCCGTGACTTAGATGGAGTGATCCTAGATTTCTCTACTGTAAGTTGCAGGTATTGCTGGGACAAGGGCTAGTAGCTTTCAACTAAAAGAAAGCAGTTTAGATTAAACATTAGGAAGAAATTCTTCAGCGTGAGGGCAGTGAGGCCCCGAAGTTGCAGAGGATCTGTGGGTGCCCTGTTGCTGGAGGTGCTCAAGGCCAGGCTGCATGGCCCCGGGCAGCCTGAACTGGTGCTTGGATCTAGCGGCTGCAGCCCTGCCTGTGGAGGGGAGTAGGAGCTGGATGGGCCTTAATGTCCCTTCCAACCCAAGCCACTCTGTGACTCACGATAGTAACTGAAGTCGAAAAGCAAAAGCCCTGCAGTAGCTCCGGTTTCATGCTGCTAATGGAGCTCCATGCCTGGAACTACTTCATTCACTGACTACAGCAAAGCTGTACCAGGGTTAGCGCGGTCCAGTTTCTGTTGTTGAATCACAAGGATCACATTGCGGGCCCACACAACATGCTACCAGATTTTAGCAAAGGAAAGGCAGAGGTTGCTGGGGAAGAGCTACTGTACAAGTAGGAAAAAATACATGCATTTCACCTTCTTCCATCTATCTTTCCCTAACCACCTTGCTGCTCCTCAGAGAAGCAGACACCATTAAATTAACAGTAGCAAAGCCTGGTGTCAGCACTGAGGGCGCTCTACGGGCAACGGCCGCGCTGTGACGCCGCGCGGGGCACAGCGCTGCTCCCGAGCTCCCCCTGGTGGACCGCCGCGCTGCGGGCTGGGACCTCGCGCACAGCAACCGAAGCGAACCGAAGCAAACGAAGCGCCCAGCGCCATCCTGAGCTCGTGCCGGGGGACAACGCGGCAGAGAAGCGCCTGAGAGCGTTATCTAGAAACCTCGTCAGGTGCTTGAATGACGGTGCCTAACTTTGGAACGCTGCACAGCATTTCTGCTCGAAATTGATCTTCTTTTGCAATACTTACAAGTAATATCGAGTAAAAATCTAAAACACCTTGAAACACATATTGTGGGCACGTGAATGCCCAGGAGAAGTACACAGCAAGAGAAAAAAAAACCAAAAACACAAACACCACCGCACGTTGGCTAACAGACACCTGCTTCATGCAGCCCATGAGGATACACTGTACCGGATGGAAGCACAGGGCCTACGGCACACCGCTTTTCACTCTCAGCACAGGGACGGCTCCTTACTGCCCATCCTCCGGGAGCAGCAGCAAGCAAGGATGCAGCAGGAGCTACTCCCTGCCCAGGGGACGCTGCTGGTTATGAACTGACGGGCAGTTCAGCCCTGTGCTCCCCCTGCCCTTCCTGGACAGACAGCACACCTGATGTGAAACCCCCCAGAACTTCTCGATTTCCACCTTCTGTGCTCTCTTAAAATTAAAAATAAATAAATAAATAAATAAATGCCTGCATGCTAAAATATTATTGTAACTTTGACATACTATTTTTCCCCACTGGGAAATCTGAGTACATGATTTTATAATTCCATTTAGAGCAGCACTCCAGCCTACACATAAGCTAATCTGAAATTAAAAAACATAGCATTGTGGCAAACTTTCAATTTCTTAAAAATACCGCTGAAATGAGGGAATGAGAGCATAGCATTACTAGGCTATGCAATAGGTTATTTCTTTGTGCCAGGATCTTTGTTAATATCCAAGTTAACACCTTCTAGGACTTTCTTAAGTTCCAGACTATCCCATACACCCTGTTAAGCTAACAAAAAGTTCACTGCCTCCATAGCACCTAATCCTACTCCACTCATGCTCTGGAAATGACAGATATATACTAATACACCATTTCCTGACATCCCTTCTGTCTATTCTCTTCCTCTCCTTGAATCACTTCTCATCCTCTGCGGGTTGTTTTCCAGTCACAGTATCAACTTTTTTTAATCTCCAAATTGAATTAAAGGCCTGAACTCAGCAAGCTTATCGACTTCCAGCTACCCATCACATCTACATTTACAACATGCACTATTT